AATCAAGTCGAGAACCAGCGGGAATCGTAGCCAAAGCCGGGGTCAGAAGCCAGGAAGAATGGTCGCCAGAGCCGGGGTCAGAAGCCAGGAGGAATGGTCGCCAGAGCTGGGGTCAGAAGCCAGGAGGAGTCTTAGCCAAAGCCGAGTCGGTATGCAGGAGAGCAAAGAGTTAACTGAACAGGAGCTTGCTGCTGTGCAACAGACAGGACACGAATGCAATGGACAGCTGCAAACAGCAGACTTAAATGTGATAAGCCGCCACCTCCTGGGAGGAGCCGTATAGGGCTGAAAGCATAAAGGATCCCACAATGCTTTGCAGACACCTAAGATGGATGCCAGCACATGGAGCAGCACAAGCCCTGAGGAAAGGTAGGACCTTGATAGATTGGTGATAAACCTTCAATGGAGACACCTTTTTCCCATGATAACGTTTACAGGAGTAAATTTCCCTTCCCAGGGGTAGATTTCCTTTTACTTCTTGTTTTTCCCTCCGTTCGTAAGTAGGAGTCTTTTGTAATTCGAGAACTGAAAAGAATAGGCGCTGTGGAAAATGCTCTCAGTCAAGTACCTTAATGAAGGTGCATCTCTATTGGGTGAGACAAAGTAGCAAATATAATAAAATTTGACCAGCCTGAAGTGGCTAGTGTGAGTCCATCGGACGGCCCGTCCGCTCTGAAGGGAGCTGAGAACGCTCCTGTCGGCTTCAAATCACGTGGTGTCAGCGTATCGGCGTCATCACGGCAAGCGAAGGCAGTGTCCGGCGTCAGCTTCAGCTAGGAGCGTGTGTAGGGTTACCAAGACGACATGTTTCGAGCAGTTGCGCTTTGTCAAGTATTTTGTAATTCAGATGTTTGTAACTCGGGGGACTACCTGCAGTTGCACTCATCTGCAATAAGCATTATGGTATCATGGTCACAAGTACTGCTAATTATATATTTGTTTCTTTGTTAGCTGCTCCTTGTATATGTAGCCATTTTAGCAGTGGGAAATGAGACAGTGGAGGAAAAAGAACTTAGAACAATATAAAACATGTTTGTGTCATCACTATCATACACAGTCTTGTGATTTTCCTGCCTAGCTGAGGTTCCTATTATTTAAATGTCATCCTTATTCAGAAGAACCAGCCAAGTACACAAGTGAACCGCCAGTGAACCTCTGACCTGCCACATTAGTATGTAGAAATAACCAATAGAAATAAGGATAGCTGGATAAAATTAATTTAGTTGCGCATTTCACTTTTGTGGCACAAGTAAGTTAATGAGTCACACGACCCATTTCTTCCTAATTAACATCGTGCAATTACTGTAAAATGACAGTAGGAATAGAGAGGATACATTGACAGTAACCATGGCTATAATGTGCGTGCACTGAATTATGCTAAAGCTGAAGTATGGCTACAAACAATTTTTGGCCATTTTCACTGTATTTATTTTTTATTTATTTCAGGTACTTATATAGCGCCGTCAATTTACGCAGCACTTTACATACATATATATTGTACATTTACATCAGTCCCTAACCCTCAAGGGGCATACAATCTAACATACCTAACTTACATTCATACATACACATACTAGGGCCTATTTAGACAGGAGCCAATTAACCTACCAGAATGTCTTTGGAGTGTGTGAGGAAACCAGAGTACCCGAAGGAAACCCACACAGGGAGAACATGCAAACTCCAGGCAGGAGGAGCCGTGGCTGGGATTTGAACCAACAACCCTAGTACTGCCAGGCGGAAGTGCTAACCATTTAGCCACTGTGCTGCCCAATTTAAAAATTGTAAAATTGTAAAATTTAACCACTTGCCGACCTGCCACTGTAGAAATACGGCTGCAGGGCGGCACGGGCAGGCAAAACCACGTTTTAAAACATGTGTTTTGTAAACAGATAGGGGGCTCGCACGAGGCGTGCCGCCGCCCTATCTGTCCCGCCGATCACCGCCGCGGATGTCAGTCGTCGGGTCACAGCTGGTCCTTACCGGCTGTTTCCCGGCAATCGGCGGCAAACAGTGACAGACAGCACAGTAGCTGTGCTGTCTGTCACTTCCCTGACAGCTTGAGGATGAGCTGATCGAGACAGAAGAGTTTCTTTCTCTCGATCAGCGGTGTCCCGTGCAGCACACACCCCCGCCCCCTAGTAAAACACTCCCCCTCACACAGATAACCCTTCCCTGCTAAATAAAGTTAACCCCTTCCCCCCCAGTGCCATTAGTACAGTGTCAGTGGTTTTTATTTTGCACTGATCACTGTATTAGTGTTTTTGGGGATGTCAGTGACCCCAAGTCAGTACCCCCCAATGTCAGGATGTCCGCTGCAGTCCTGCAGTCCCACCATAAGTTGCTGGTCGCTGCCATAAGTCACTGATCGCCGCCATCATTTGTATAAAAAAAAAACTAAAAATCCAAGTATCTTTCCCATCATTTGTAAACGCTATAACTTTCACGTAAACCAATTAATTTACACGTATTGTTTGTTTTTTTTTTAGCAAAGACATGTCGCAGAATGCATTTTGGCAGAAATTTATGACTAAATTAGATTTTTGCATTTTTTTTTACTGGACATGTTTTATAGCAAAAAGTCCAAAATATTAATTTTTTTTCCTCAAAATTGTCAGCCTTTTTTTATAGCGCAAAAACTAAAAACCGCACAGGCAATCAAATACCACCAAAAGAAAGCTCAATTTGTGCGAAAAAAAAGGATGTAAATTTCATTTATGTACCATATTGCATGACCGCGCAATTGTCCGTTAAACTAGCGCAGCGCTGTATAGCAAAAAAAAAATGGCGTAAATTGCAGTATCTATACCATAGATTGTAGACGCTATAACTTCCACACAAAGCAATCAATATACACTTATTGGGATTTTTTTTTTTCACCAAAAACATGTAGCAGAATACATTTTGGCCTAAATTTATAACCAACTTTGAGTTTACTATATATTTTTTTATAGCTGAAAGTAAAATATATTGTTTTTCTTTAAAATTTTTGGCATTTTTTTTATTTATAGCGTGAAAAAAAAAAAGCGCACAGATGATCAAATACCACCGAAAGAAAAGTTGAATTAATGCAGCGCCGAGTAGCAAAAAGAAGCCTGGTCATTGAGGGGGGTAAATCCTCTGGAGCTCAAGTGGTTAATGAACACTAATGAAGTACATGCCGTGTTGAGCCACTGCTGTGTTACGTAGTACTCCTACCTGTACATTACAGTCAGCGCTGACTGTCCAGTGTTGAAACTTACAGTTCCAACTGAAGTACACAGATTACAGTGGATTGCTTACTCTGCAGCTCATCCATTCCGGAAACATGAATGCAAGCCATTTTGTTTACAATATATGTTTATAAGGAGTTTAATGCATAAAAAAAAACACAATAAAAGTAAAAATACATTGACATTATGGTATGACGATCAAAAGGTACCTGTATGGCAACGTGGAGCAGAGCATTTCCAAGCAGGGCTTCTTTTCAGCTGGAACACAGGAGAATGCAGTTCTGGTACCTCCAGCACTGAATGTATGAAATAGCAAGGGGTACAGGGGTGTGCTGGAGGAGTCTATTGATGCTAGCTGCTGGGGAATCTATTGTCACTGCAGGGGATCTATTTTTTGCGTTGGGGTCTATTGTTGCTTGGGAGGTCTATTGTTGCTGGTGAATCTTTTGTTGCTGGGGGGGTTATGTTGCTGAGAGGTCGATTGTTGCTGGGAGGGATCTACTGTTGAAGGAGAGGTCTATGAATGCTAGCTGCTGCTCTATTGTTGCTGGGGTGGTATTTTGTTGCAGGGATCCATTGTTGCTGTGGGGGGTCTATTGTTGTAAGGAGATATATTGTGGCTGGGGGGGGGTCTATTGTTGCTGGGGGGGGGGTGTCTATTGTTGCTGGCTGCAGGGGATCTATTTTTACTGCTTTTCTTGTTATTAACAAATTCCATACAAATTACTTAGCATCACAAAATGAATTTTGGTTCTGTATTCTCTAAAAGGGGCAGTACTGGGAGGTGGGAAGGGAGTAGAACCAAGGGACGGTTGGTAGAAGGCAGAGGCAAGGAGTGATTCAGAAAGGGAGAGTTCCTGTACCTATTCTCTGACAAAAAAGCCCTGTTTCCAACAATATAGTGGGAAGCTTTCTTGCATGGAACATAGGGAGAAAACTAACGCAAGGGTTGGATGACTTTCCAGCTCCGCTCTGTCCAAAACAAAAAAAAAAGTTTTGCCTTTAGTTATAGTTTAAGCCATAAAGAGACTTAAACACCAGACATCTTAAATGAGTGAAAATAAGACGGGAACGATAGGGGCAGCTGGTCCTCCATGAGAACACAGGGAGGGGGATATGCATGACAATTAAGTAGGTGCATTGATGGATGTCATAAGACTAAGATTTTCAATTTGCCCAGGGAATTGGTAAGGTTAGCTCCAGTGGCGTCCCTAGGGGTGACCCACACCGGGTGACACCATCACAGGGGGTGCAGGAGCAGGATGCCAGCAGAGCTTCTGGGCTCTGTGAAGGTCCTGGCCAGTTATTGGGGTGATCCCGGATTCCCGGCACAGTGCCAGTTGCCCTTGTGTAGAGGTAAAATGAGTATCCCGACCAGTGAAGATATGTATCCCCTGAAGCAACTGCGCATGTGCCGGTTTCAGGCCAAAGAAGCTGATCACCGATATCCAACTTTAGCCAGAGCTACCACAGTTAACCCCTTACAGGCTGCAAACCACTGAAGCTGATCCCGCAGATCACTATGGGTTGCAAGATCAGTTAACCCCGTATACAGGGTTAACTGATCTTGCAACCCATAGTGATCTGTGGGATCAGCTTCAGCAGTTTGCAGCCTGTAAGGGGTTAACTGTGGCAGCTCTGTGCTAAAGTTGGAGATCGGCTTCTTTGGCCTGAAACCGGCAAACGCAGTGCTTCAGGGGATACATATCTTCACTGGTCGGGATACTCATTTTACCGCTACACCGGCACCGCTCCTTCCTCTATGAAGGGGTGACACCACGTGTTACCGCACTGGGTCCCGGCCAGAGATTCCCTGCTGGCACCCGGTGATCGTTGGGGAAAGCTGACAGGGGAAAGACCTGTGTGTAATCAACACAGATCTCTCTCCTGTCAGCATGGACGTGCTGCTTTGTATCTCTCTGAACAGCAGAGAAATACACAGCAGCATGTCTCCCTAGTAAACCACACAAAGCACATTATGTAAGACAGCACACAGCACACTGTTAACCCTTTGATGCCTCAGATGTTAACCCCTTCCTGCTCGGTGTCATTAGTACAGTGTCAGTGCTTTTTATTAGCACTGATCACTGTATTAGTGTCATTGAGATGTCAGTGGCAGTTAGTCAATTCCCACCCAGTGTCAGAATGCCCACCGCAGTCCTGCTATAAGTCGCTGATCACCACCATTACTAGTATAAAAAAGTTAAATTCCAGTATATAAACTGCCATTTGTAGATGCTATAACTTTCAAGCAATCAATTAAGTTACATGTAATGGGTTTTTTTTTTAGCACATTTATGTAGCAGAATACATTTTGGCCTAAATTTATGAAGAAATTAGATTTTTTTAAAAAAAATTTACTGGATATGTTTAAAAAAAAGTCAAAAATATTGTTAATTGTTCAAAATTGTCAGTTCAAATTGTCTTTTTTTGTTTATAGCGCAAAAAATCAAAACCTCAGAGGTGATCAAATACCTCCAAAAAAAATCTCTATGTGTGGGAAAAAAAGGACATGAATTTTATTTATGTACAGCATTGCATGACTGCGCAATTGTCAGTTAAAGTAACGCAGTGCCGTACCACAAAAAATGGCCTGGTCAGGAAGGGGGGTAAATACTCTGGAGGGCAAGTGGTTAAAGAGACTCTAAAAATTGGAAACAGTGGCTAAACTCTTTGAGGACACAAGAGTGCATGCCATCTGGTCCAGGTACTTTATTTTGTCAAATGTTTCAGCACCATATCAGTTTTGAGTCATTGTGGATCATTTGGGGCTATGTCAATATTATCCCAATCATGGACTTGAGCTCCCTCATTTTTCTTTGTATACATAGATCTGTAGGCGGTATTTAATACTTTTTTTTCTCTTTGTACCAGTTACCAACTCAAAATTATTTTGTAAAGGGCCTACATGCTCAGACCTGACCTTTTCACCTTTTCATATTTTAATATATTTTAAGAATTTTTGGGTATTTGTTTTACTTTCTTTTGCAACCTGTCATTCATGTTCCATTTTTGCAGTCGGAAAGGCTTCTTCAAAGTAAAAGCTGTGAAAATGTACCTTTAGGAAATCAGAAAGGAATTTTGTATACCCTGCTAGAACAAATTTGACCATGCTTTATAAGTTTTTTGCCTCCCACTGGATCAACTGTGGGTATAGGATTGTATATATGGAAGTTTTCTGTTTATTTTTTCTATTGGTTGAACTAGATGAACCTGTGCCTTTTATTGATCAATTATGTAACTGCCAAAAAAGCACAAAAAAAAACATTAATAAACGTAATGCCATTAATATAATAAACACATGAAGAACATATTGTAACTTCATGATATCTTTTCACAGTCTCTCTCCATATGTACACTCTTAAATTGATTATGTTCTAGGTAGGCATTACCAAAATAAGTAAAAAATAAGAAAATAGTAAAAATAAACACAGCTTTAACTGAGCAAACCAGCTGTGGCAAAATGAAAAATAAATGTGTATCTAAGCACCAATTTTGCTCTGGAAAGCTCAAATTGATGTGGAAGACAAAACAGGAAAATTTCCAGCAGAGAGGATTGTAAGCGTAAACTCCATCAGCAAGTCATATCCCATTCTAAATAAACTATCTGACAACAAGGATTGGTTCGTCAAACAGAGCAAAGAAATTAAAGATTGAGTTGTTGCCAATAACAACCAATGACATTTTGAAATTCATTGTAGGAAAAACTTAAAAACGAAACATGCAAACAAGAATTTTGATTGTTTTCTATTAATAGCAACTAAATCTTACTTCTTGTATTCTCCTGTTTTCTTAAACCAGCTAATTATAATAAATGGGATAATATCAGTCTGTGATTTTAGAAATTAAATGCAGAATGTTTAATATAAGGAATATCATATGATGAGATGAGGTGTGTTGTATATTATTGTCAGGATCCTGTAAACGCTCCTGTTCTTTGACAGCTGTTGGTCTTATTTCAGCATGCTATGGTTTTAGCTATCCCTGTCTGTCTGTCTACTGCAAGGTGATTTATGTGGCCAATCTCTGGGAGGAGACCAAACCTGATTTAAGCCAGCCAAGCCTGAAGTCCTATGCTTGTGATATTGCATTTGTAAAATGTACTGCAAGCTCCCTATCTGTCCCGCTCTGCTGTTTGGATTCCCTTATTGATGGCCTCTGATCGGATATCAGTCTATTCTTTGAACTCTGCCTGCCTTTTGACTACAGATCTGACTATCCTGAACCTTGCCTGCCTTGTACCTGGACTGTCATTGAGCCACTCTGCCTGTCTGCCGATTGCAAATACCTGATTGTTGTGCTCAGTTCCTGCCTGCCCCAATGGTAGCCAGGCACTTTAGAACTGTGTACAAGTCAAGGAGGCAACCAAGTACTGGTAGGCCTGCTTGCCATTGGAAGGGGGCTGCTATAGGTGAAGAACACATAAGTTAGCTATAGGTGTCTGACCACCTACGTTAGGGGGAAGCATGACAATTACACAGGTTTTAAAGTGTTACTAAACCTAGGACCCTGCTTTCACTATATTTGGTTTTCCACAGTACACAAAATATGGAAATGCAATTATTTTAGTTAATATAAACTGCTAAATACCTTTTCTCATCAGCAATATAGAGCAGTCTTATGACTTCTCTCAATGTCCAGCTGAGCACTAGCTAAAGTTTGTAGGAGGAGTTTACATTTTGCTGACTGTCCTATGAGGCTGCATAACCTCTGACCCTCTCTCTGGACAGTGCTGATTGACCTCTGCTGATCACATGCACCCTCCCGCCCCCAAAAAACCTCTCTAACAATATACATCAAACTAAGCATGTGCAGCATGCCTCCTGGAGCTCCGTACTATCAACAGTTAGACTGGGGACAGTAGAAGAAGGGGAGGATCAGAGAAGACAGGTTCAAACAGCCTTTTTACACATAAAGGTTTAACCCCTTAGGTTCCACAATGTGTATAGCAAACATGCTTCACTGCATATACAGACTGATTGTACTGTTGTGGATTTAGTAACAATTTAACCGCCTCCTGCCTGCCATATAGTACAATGACGGGCGCAAGGTGGTTCTCTCGTTCTGGGATGACGTCATATGATGTCCTCCTATTCTAACTCCGCATGCGCGGCTCCGGGAGCGTGCAGTGCGGCGATCGATCGCGGTGCATTGTGTCCCTCGGATCAATGGAAAGAGCCGAAGATGTCGGCTCAGTCATGTGATCAGCTGTGTCCAATCAGCATTTCTCTCCTTTCTCTCCTCAATCGGCATTTCTCTCCTCACGAGCTGTCACACTGACAGCTCGTGAGGAGAGGAGAGCTGGTAATCTGTATTCCTCAGAGGGGACATGTACACAGATCATCAGAGCACTGATGATCAGTGTGCCCTGATGATCTGTGTAGCCACAGCATTGCCACCTGTCAGTGTCCATCAGTGCCAGCTGTCAGTGGTCCCATGCCACCTGCCAGTGCCCATCAGTGCCACATCAATGCCACATATCAGTGCCCATCTGAGCTGCCTTTCAGTGTCACCCATCAGTGCCAGTCAGTGCCACCTATCAATACCAGTCAGTGCCGCCTATCAGTGCCAGTCAGTGCTGCATATCAGTGCCAGTCAGTGCCACCTATCAGTGTGCATCAGTGATGCCTATTAGTGCCCGCCAGTGTTGCCTATCAGTGCCGCCTAACAGTGCCAGTCAGTGCCGCCTATCAGTGCCATGTATGAGTGCTGCATTTCAGTACCCATCAGAGATGCTTGTCAATGCCCATCAGTGCCACCTACCAGTGCTTCCTCATCAGTGCCCATCAGTGCCACCTATCAGTGTCCATCAGTGCAGCCTATCAGTGCCCATCACTACAGCCTAATTAGTGCACATCAGTGAAGGAGAAAAATCACTTATTTACAAATTTTATAACAAAAACAAAGAAAAAATTTTTTTTTCAAAATATTCAGTGCTTTTTGGTTTGTTTAAGAAAAAATAAAAAACCCAGAGGTGATTAAATACCACCAAAATAAATCTCTATCTGTCACAAAACATTTATAAAAATTTCATATGGGTACAGTGTTGCATGACTGCACAATTGTCATTCAAAGTGTGACAGCGCTGAAAGCTGGAAATTGGCCTGGGCAGCAAGGGGGTATAAGTCCCTTGTAGACTAGTGGGTAAACCAGTACAATATTGCACACCTTCTGCCTTTAAGGACTGCCAAGTGCATAAAACAAAAATACCAGAAAATAAAGATGATTTTTTTCTGCATTTTAACATATTTTTCACCAGTCTTCCTTTATTTTAATGTTTTTAAATAATAACAGATTTTTATTCAGTTTTCATTACATGTTAAATGTTTTTTTTGTCAAATGAAGCTCTGATGCATCTTATTAATTTCAGGAGTTCCCTGCTCCCTTCCACTCCCATACATTACTGTTGGTTCATCGCTACAATGGGCTGCCATATTGTCCAGTAGAAACGTGGGGCAGGCAAGTTTCGACCCTACTAGGAATTGCTAAGTTCTTCAGAACATTAGGAGTATTTGATAACTCTTACAGACTCATTGAAACAGCAATAATTTTTCGTTTCTTGGTTTAAAAGGAACAAGCATTTCTTTATGAAGTATCTGCACAGGTTCATCAACTAAGTTGGAACCATGGGTAGAGTTCTCCATAGCTCTTGGTAAAAGATGTAATTTTACAACCAACACAATAGAACAAGGCAACCTACATACAATGGTTTTGTTAATTTTAAAGTCTACAAAGAAATCTCTAGTGGTAGGTTACTTTGACCTGTTTGGTTTTTTTCTGCTAGCAAAATTGGCTAAAATTGAGTTGGAAAATGGCATTGGATCCTGAGTTTGAATCTGAGCATGTCCCTAACCTTGACCCTAACCCTAATATTGACACAGACCTAGATCGACCTCTGACCTAGCTATTTTGTTTTCTTTTTTAACACACAATTTTTTTTTTGTTTACAATTTTCTCTTCCAACAACTAGAAAAAGATTGGGTGGATTAAGGCAGAGAGACTGCAGTTTGCAAGTGCAGTTGTGCTCATTTTCCTCAGTGCTTAGGGAAAGTGCTAAAGTGCTAATCCCCCCTCCACCAAACTTTACACTTGGCACAATGCAGTCAGGCAAGTACCTTTCTCCTGGCAACTGCCAAACCCAGACACATCCATTGGATTTTCAGACAGAG